GGCTAAAGCGTCGTGTGCGATTTGGCTCTGCGTCATATTGCGACACTTCTAGGAATTCGTCCTCTTGGCGAACGAACTTCTTCCCACGAAAACGCCTTGGCTTGGAAATCCTCTCGAACACCGAGACTCTCTTTGGGGTTTTAGAACAGCAGCATTCTGACAACACCGCCTTGATGATGTTGGCACACGGACAGTGAGGTTCCGTGTCTCGAGCATCTCTCTTTCGAGACTTACCCGCACCCCCAGCTCTATAGTACAACTCATCAGTTTGATAACTGGAGCAACCCATAGAGTGTTGGCATGACTTCCCAGGTATAACACAATCATCATCAGACGAATGCGTTTCCCTCTGGGGATATGACGCTTTATTAGCGTTTTCAAAAGTCGCTCGTTCAAGTCTACGCTTTTGCGAGCGTGAAAACTTAACGGGCTCTTGAACTTCGACCTGTAATCCAATGCGGTCGGTAACAGGGGCTTTCCCTTTGTTATCTTTCTTGGGGGGGTTAGCACGACCCCTGGTCTGGTTTGTTGTTTGGGGACCTTTCAACGGTCCCAATCGCTCCTTGACAGGTGCCTTGCCTCGATCTTCTGGTAAAGGGCCGAGGCGACCTTTCAAAGGAACCTTGGATCTAGAAAGACCCACGTTCTTACCTGGCTCCGCCGGAGGTGCGGGGGCAAGGGAAACATGATCTGGATTTGATGAAGGTTGGACGGCAACTCCGTCCACTTTTGCCTCTGGCGCTGGTTTTGCCTTTGGCACCCATATCCGTTTGTGTTTTGACGGCTTCTTGACCGTCTCTTCTTTCTGCATCTCTTCCACTTTCTGCAGAAGGACTCGGACGTGCGCAAACAGTGCGTGGCGTTTCTTGATCCGCTCTTCGAGGGTTGAGCGAGTCCTCGTGACACGAACCCATTCGTTCGTTTCTGTCTTGGAGGAGGAGTTGGTTGTTCGCCGTTGTTGCACTTGGCGCTGTCTGGGCTTTAGATCCTCATTGTAGCGGATCCCGTCCATCGATTCTGCGGCCTTGGCCAACTGTCGCGCAAGGCGTTGACGCCGTCTTTGGCGCGCCCTCTTCGACAAGGTTGGAACACCTTCAGCAGTTGACTTCGCGGATTTCATAAAACTTCAAACGTTACAAATGAATTCAAACAACAAAGAAATAAAAATTACAACTTTCTTGAAAATAAACACAAGATCCGTTCGTCGTCTCTTGCTTGCGTGGGTCTTTAGCCTGTGACGGGGATGTTGATATCCGTGGACTACCTGGCAATCAGATCTGATCTAGAGCTTCGTTGATCCGCGAGGAGATCTAGAAACTTGAAGCGCCTATCTCGATAAAAGCGAGATATTTGCTCTTCTTAGTATTACCACAACGGGATAATACTAAGGATCGGGTACGGGTGATGTAGATCTGACGAAGAACTCTCTTGCGTTGAAGTGATCGATCACTCTTCACTCCGGCAGGGCTTCGCCAATTCTCTAAAAATCCAGATCTGAAAAAATGAGGCCTAAGGCTTGTATTTATAGGCATGAGGGGTTGCGAAGCGGTTAAAACCACTTAAAGGGCCCAAATCCGCGCTGAGACACCCTAGGGGTGTCTCAGCTTGGCCGAGACACCCTTGGGGGGTCTCGGCCAAGTCAAGACACCCTCGAGACACCGTAGGTGCCTCAGTTCAGCTTTGAGACATTTTCAATGCCCGTTTGACTGTTTTCGCTGTAACTTCTTTGTCTGAACTCGGATTTGAGTGATTTCAAATGCGTTGAAAGTCTGACGAAGAGTTCTATCAGTTCCAATGGTTAGATTATCTATAGAATGAACGAGACACGAATGGCGTTGTTCCTTCTGTAAACATCGCGGGATTCTCGATTAGCCTGTACCTTTGTTATTCTGAAATTCTGTCAGCTCACGTAGTTCGTCGGTTCACTTCAAGCGTTCACCGACACCAGTCGAACTCCTATGAACTAAATAGTGACGTTCATTGTCGTTCCTTAACACTGAGCTGTTCGTAGAGACCTATAGGCAATTTTTAATGCCTACATGACCATGAGTACAATATGAGATACTATCTCGCTAACGAGATTTACCCAGAGTGGTCCATATTAGTGAAGACTATTCCAGCACCTCGAGGAAAAAAGAATAAGTACTTTGCTCAACAACAAGAGAGAGCAAGAAAAGATGTCGAGCGAGCTTTTGGCATGTTGCAATCTCGATTTGCTATTGTTCGTGGACCACCACGTTTCTGGAAACATAGTGTGTTGAAAGACATATGACAGCTTGCATCATAATGCATAACATGATCGTTAAAGATGAACGACATTGTCAATGTGACAACAACTTCGACTTTGTTTATTCGATACCAGTCATTGAACCTTCTCATGTGCGGACGATGCCTCTAACTGAGTTCATCCAAAATCATCATCAGATCAGGAACACGCAAATACACAAATCACTAAAGAATGATTTGATCGAGCATCTGTGGTAGCTCAAGGGATCCATAGCCGAGGATTAAGTTTCTTTATGTCTAATGTAATTTCAGTGAACTTGTTCGAGTTGTTGTACTACGCCAATTTCAATTTCAATAAAATAGTTATATTTATTCAATGCCAAAATTTTTAACTGCTAGTACAATCATAAATCTAATACAAGATAATATATGATAATTAGGAAGAACCCTTAGACATCCACCTCTCTAATATCTCTGCCTGACGCATTTCAAAGTATTGTCATTGAACTGAATTGAGTGTTGAGAGATCCATCTTCATGATATCGTCATATTGTTTCTTCTGTTTTAGCTCTATTTTTTGATTGGTGGTTTGCTTCATCCACGCGAAAGCCTTTCCCATGATGGACTTAGCAGACTCAGAGTTTTCCACATTTTGTTTCCTCTTGAGCTTTGCCGCTTTCCTCCCTTCAGGCCTTGCTATGACATCATCCAAGTCAGTGTTCAACTCGATGGGGGTTGATGGAGAGGAATTGTTTGGTGAGGAATCAGAATTTGTGGTTCTTCTCGACTGTGATCGAATCTTATTGTAAGTTTTAATCTGTTGCGTCCACTTTTGATGATGATGTAACTCAACCCAGTAATAGTCAAACACAAATGACTTACCATAAAGAGATTGGTATAATTCTTTTACTTCTGCAGTCTACACAAGAGTTAAATTTAGAATAATTAAACGTATGATGCTTGAAGAGAACAATGAAGAAGACAAATGTGCACAGGAGGAGCCCATAGGTGTTTATAAGTTAAATATTTATCTGGTCAATAATTCTCGTACCAGATCTTTGTCTTCCTTCAATTTAAGCAACGCACCCGCGGAACTTGTTGACGGACAGTTGAATCGTTGACCAACGATGCATCATTTGATTTGGTGTGTGGCTCGTTGGATCGGTGGAGTATTGGATAAAGTAGCCGTTAGCTCTGTGTCAAAACTTATCTTTGTGTTGCCCCGTATCTTGGATGTCGTCTTGGCTCGTGTTCAGCCAAGCAGGCACAAGAAGCTTATCCTAGTGGACAGTCCAATTTTCGGACCGCGTGTAAGCCTTCTTCTTCTTTGTGGTCAGTGTTTTTTGGGATGACACTTGTTGTGCTGCCGATTCCGAGAACTCATGGATGGGGTGTCCTTCTTCTACGACGTGTGTGTAGAACGACTGGTATAAGGCTGATCCTTCATCGGTAAGGAGTTGCGAATAAAAGTTTTAGGAGGGATCCATAAGATTTGTAATTTGATAGGAAAATATAGAGTTTTTTTTATGAGAGAGTTGTGTGGAATGTTTTGTGTAGTGAATTGAGTATTTATAGAAATTTTTTTACAGTTCATGCCAATTTTTAAAATCTCAACTGCTAATTTTTTAACGACTAATTTACAGTTCATGTCAATTTTGAAAAATCTCAATGGCTAATTTTTAAACCGTTATTTTCAAACTGGGCTCAAAGGTAAAGGGTTTTTTGTATAAATTTTTTAATGGATGTGAGCTCTCAAACGCTCCATAAATTTGTGGAGCGCTTGGGAGCTCCGTAGCACACCTCCCTAGGCTGCGTGCCATGTCAGCCCAAGGATCAGCCTTGTGAACTTGCTTGAGCATCTGCAGCAAGCTCTCACCGCCACTTCAGCCTTAGGAGATGGGTTAAGAGCTTGCTGCAGATGCTCTAACACATCATAACAAATTGAGGGGCTAATATCACGTTCAGTTTAAGGGGCAAATATATACATAAATCATATTATAAAACATCTCTTAAGTTTAAAGATTATTAGAAAAACCTTCTTTTAACTTTAAATTTACTCTTAGAAATTGTCAATTGCAACTTTTATATGAATGGATAATATCATACAAGAGGATATTTTCCCCAACAAAAATTGAGATACACGCTTTTTAAGATGAAAAATTCTTTAAGGACCCAAAATATGGGACCAATAGGGAGGACAAGTGAGGTGTCCCCCTCTTATTATATAATGAGTTGGTCATCCTTAATGATGGCCAACTCATTATCCAATAGGAGGGGGACACCTCAGTTGTCCCCTTTATTGATCACATATTTTGGGTCCCTGTAGCAAAACTCTTTTTAAGTTGTTGTCCGGAAAAAAAAAATCTTAAAGTTGAAAGTAATTTTCTAAAGTCATTGGGGGTTATGTTTGTAATCGTCCAAAGTTAAAGGTGACTTTAAAAATTTGTTACGTGAAAGTCCCGCTTCCGCGATACCGATGAGCGGGGCCCGCTCCGCAGCACCACATTCAGTAGGTCCCACACTCGAACTTTTGAAAAGGGTGTTCAAGCGGGGGTGCAACACCGGAAAGCGCATGAGTTCCTCAACTTTTCTCTTCGGAACTACGTGCGGTCACGTGACATCAACCATAAAACGAAAAGCGGAAGGGCGTTAATTTCAAAATTTCTCATTTCCCCCCCTCCCTCTCAAACGAAACGTCCGTTAAGCCCCCTCTCCTCGTTTCCGTCACCGTCAAAACAACTCCGGCGACCTCACCGCCGTCCGGTCTCATCAAGATGCGCGAGATCCTCCACATCCAGGGCGGCCAATGCGGGAACCAGATCGGCGCCAAGTTCTGGGAGGTGGTCTGCGCTGAGCACCTGCGGCCGCTTCGTCCCTCGTGCTGTGCTCATGGATCTCGAGCCCGGGACCATGGACAGCCTCAGATCTGGGCCCTACGGCCAGATCTTTAGGCCCGATAACTTCGTCTTCGGACAGAGCGGCGCTGGGAACAACTGGGCCAAGGGGCACTACACCGAGGGAGCGGAGCTGATCGATTCGGTTCTTGACGTCGTGAGGAAGGAGGCGGAGAATTGTGACTGCTTGCAGGGTGAGGTTTTTTTTTAATTTTTGTGATTTTTTCCCCTCTGTGTGTGATCGGATCCAGCGATGTTAGTGGTTAAGCGTTTGTTAAAAGCAGATCACTGATTTGTTAAAGCAAATAATGCAACGTATGATTCAATCTCTTACTGTTAGCCATATGAAAGGACAAATTTTCAAAACCATCCGGTTTTGAAATTTATTCCCAAAAAAAATCCCTTTCAACCTTAATTTTAAAAACAGACCTAATTGGATGAAACTGGATATGTTTTTGAAAAAAAAATTTCCAAACTTCACGGGAGTTCACTCCCGTGAAGTTTTTTCTCATAACAAAACTTCACGGGAGTTCAACTCCCGTGAAGTTTGGAATTTTTTTTTTCAAAAACCGACCCAGTTTCAACCAACTGGGTCGGTTTTTAAAATTAAAGTTGAAATGGGTCGTTTTTTAAAATAAATTTCAAAAGCGGATGGTTTTGAAAATTTGTCCCCATATGAAATTGTAATATGTTAATTTACTTGGATTCTCATGATCTTAAAAATAACTTTAGCTTTATTCTATTTAAGTTATGATAGTGTGCAGCTATTTGAGGTTTTTAGTATTCATATATGAAGTTAATTTTAAAGAATCTTTTACCAGCATTACAATTTTAATTTCCCTCCATTTTCCTGTTTAGCATTGGTTTCCGCTGAAGGGGGTTTGATATTTATTCTTTGCTTTGGGTGTTCTCATGAATTCTCCACTGGATTATGCTGTTCTCATATTGAGGAAGCTTGTCTCCCTGTTGCTCGTTTATCTGAACTATGTGCTGTAGACACACTATATGAATTCATTACTTGTTATTGTTGTTTACAAATCAGTTATAATTGATGATATTGTTAAAATCTTTGGCTATATTTTAAAAGCTCAATTTGTGAAACTTCATAGACAAGTCTCAGTATTGATCATAATTTTATCGTCATTTGATTTTCCCCGTCTGTTTTCTCATCGCCTGCATTGGCTTCTTTGTTAGCCCTTTTCTTGTAACTACATGCTCGTCAGTTTGCTAAATTTTCATTTATTAACTTTGGATCCGGGTGAGCTGCAATTGCTAATAATTTCAATGATTGCCCTCACAGGTTTCCAAGTATGCCATTCTTTGGGTGGAGGAACAGGGTCAGGCATGGGTACATTATTGATATCAAAGATCCGAGAGGAGTACCCAGATCGCATGATGCTCACCTTCTCCGTCTTCCCATCACCAAAAGTCTCTGATACAGTTGTTGAACCTTACAATGCAACTCTTTCTGTGCACCAGCTGGTGGAAAATGCAGATGAGTGCATGGTTCTCGACAATGAAGCGCTCTATGATATCTGCTTCCGCACTCTCAAGCTAACCACGCCAAGCTGTAAGTATTTTGTCCTTCTGCCTAACAAACATTCCAATTTTAAGTGTTTTCTAAAGCGTCTGGTCTTTTGTATAATCATGAGGAGCTCAGCTTGCATATAAATGGTTTCAACTTGATAACGGTTTGTGACTTGTAGACGCCAGAGTTTAGACTAAGTTTTACGTGTTCTCTTGGAAGGGGAAGGTCATGTATTTATTTACCTTGTACCTCTTTTCTGATGGTTGCTCAGATAGTTCAGTAAAGGATTGTTGGATATTTGCTTCATTTGTTACCCTTGCAACTTGTTTAAGTTGTTTTTATCACAGTATATTGGTCTTTCTGTCTGATGATTTGATCTGTACACATTATAGGTCGTTATTGTGCAATTTATTCTTCATTATTTGTCTATATGTTGAAAAAACCACTGAAGCTGCCTTTTATTCTGGACCATATATATCAAATTTTTTAGAGAGAGAATGATTGGTCTTCTAGGATAACAGCAAGCCCTTATTTCCTCATTCTGTCCTTAGCCAGGAGCTTAAGAGCAATGACATCGCGATGTTTTACTGTTCCATGATTGGTATGCATCTGGTGTCTCATTGCAGCTTCTAGCATAGTCTAAGTTTTGACCAATTTCCTTAGGCCTGTTTTCTTTTGGTTATTCACACTTTAGGTGAACTAATCACAGTGTTATGGTCTCGCTGCTATTTTTCCTTTTTTTTTGAAAGTTGAAACAACTGGATTGCTTTCTAACTTGGTAATGTTCAATGAAATTCAGTTGGTGATCTCAACCACTTGATCTCGGCCACCATGAGTGGAGTTACATGTTGCCTCCGCTTCCCTGGGCAACTGAACTCTGACCTCCGCAAGCTCGCAGTAAACCTAATCCCCTTCCCTCGCCTCCACTTCTTCATGGTTGGCTTTGCCCCCCTCACCTCCCGTGGGTCTCAGCAGTACCGTTCCCTTACCGTCCCCGAGCTCACCCAGCAAATGTGGGACTCCAAGAACATGATGTGCGCTGCTGACCCAAGGCATGGGCGATATCTCACAGCCTCAGCCATGTTCCGTGGCAAGATGAGCACCAAAGAAGTAGATGAGCAGATGATCAACGTCCAGAACAAGAACTCGTCCTACTTTGTCGAGTGGATCCCCAACAATGTGAAGTCCACAGTGTGTGACATCCCGCCCACGGGGCTCAAGATGGCCTCGACCTTCATTGGGAACTCCACTTCGATTCAGGAAATGTTCCGTAGGGTTAGCGAGCAGTTTACTGCTATGTTTAGGAGAAAGGCTTTCTTGCATTGGTACACTGGGGAGGGAATGGACGAGATGGAGTTCACTGAGGCAGAGAGCAACATGAACGATTTGGTGTCCGAGTATCAGCAGTATCAGGATGCGACTGCTGATGAAGAGGGCGAGTACGAGGATGAAGAGGATGGCGAGTACGAGGGGGCCTGATCTATCGAAAATTGAAAGTCTCTGTTCTTATGAACTTCTGTGTTTGAATGGTTTCCTTCTGGGTGTGATCTGAAGTAATATCAGTTTGCCTTTTTGTTTGTTTTTTCCTTCTTCTTTATTAACTGCAAGTGGGCTATGAAGTTCTCTAAAATGTAAGTGTTTTGGTGAAATTTGATGGTTGTGCTCAATAGAAACTTTTTTGGTTATTTGACTAATTACTTTTTCTGAGATTTTTTTCTAAAAGTTCATTTATTTGTGTGCACGCATATTTATGTTTTGCCAATTTGTTAATCAGGAGTCAGGACTTCTTTCTAATCTCGTGAAATCTCTATACTAACAATTACTGTTTATATGTGATTTAGTTTTGATATGTCTGTGCTCTCTGTAACTTCTAAGGGCATCTCCAACCCAGCATTAAAATGGTGTAAACAGTGTTTTTTGTTGCACTGTTCATTCTCCAACCCAGCCCCATTTTCTGCGCCATTTTGGTGCAGTTGAACAGTGCTGCACCAAATATGGCGTTGCACTGTTCATCCGCCCCATTACTGTTCATTTTTTAAAAAAAAATTCAAGTGTTTATTTTTACCTCTTAATTAATATAAAAATAGATAAAAGGAAATAAACTGAGAATATTCTGAGAATATTCTTTTTTGGTGCAAAAAATAGTGTAATGGGTTGGAGATGTATTACTGTTTGATGTGATTTTTGCACCATTTTGATGCAAAATTTGCACCATTTTGGTGTAATAGGTTGGAGATGTATTACTGTTTGATGTGACTTTTGCACCATTTTGATGCAAATTTTGCACTATTTTGGTGCAATGGGTTGGAGATGGTCTAAGATTATAAATGATGATACATTGTTTGGAAAGCAAACTCAATCAGTAACAAAGTCAATAAAATGAAATAAATAAAGAGCAAAATGTAGTAACTTAGTACTAAGCATAAATTTTGTGTTTGGTAGTTAGGTGTCTCATTCTCATCAACTCTTCAACCCACGTGAATGTGATTCCCTATTTGAATGAGTGGATGAGAATGAACTACGTTCCTGCGAAGCACAAGAACTCATGGTTGATACCAAGTTTATTTATATTGCTCATAGATATGATAAAAGTGCTATCAATAAAAAGTTAGGAGTTGAGTTGCCAAGATCTGAGGAAGCAAGTGATCACGTGGTCTCGGGCCTCTGGCTCTGTTTGCTCACGAGTAAAGCGCACGCTATGACCTCACATTCACATGTGACAAGCCCAAAGAGACGCACATTAGCAGTGATAGCACATGATATACTGATAAGGAGGCAGGATGGCCATCATGAGTCCATTATTTACTTGTTGGTTTTCTTTTCTCTTATTATAGCTTTGAATTATAGAGCTTGCTTTTACATTTAGGATAATTAGCACTTAAGTACCTTATAGTTTATCCTACTTTACCCCTATATATCCTAACTTATTTTTGGTAGCACCTATATGGTAAAGTTTCTTAAAAGTTGCTACTTTAGTATCTCGGGTTATGCAAACATAAGAATATTTTCTCGAATATTCTGATATAACCCATGCTAAAGTTAGAACTTTTAATGTTTGTTAAATTTATTGTTAAATCTTTCGAAATCTCTTTTAAACTTCAAACTCAGCTTATGTTAAGAATTAAAAGTTTTAAAACTAGGATTTGAAGATATTTAGAAAAATATTTTCATCTTTAAATTACAAAAAGGCACCGACAAAGAAGTTGAAAACAATGTACTTTGAGAAGTTCATTTTCTATTAGAACCTACTAGTGTGCGCCCCGTGCGAAGAACGACCTTACTTTTTTTTTTATTGCTATAGTAATCTCGTTTTTAATTGCAACCGTTTTTAAAAATGTCATAGTTTTTAAAAAATGATACAGTAATATTTTTAAATGCTACAGTGATATATTTTAAACAGTCGCAGTAAATTTTTAAAAAATATTACAATATCCACTTATGCTACAGTATCTCACGTATGCTAAAGAGGCTAAAGAGGAGTAGATTCCATGTGAGTAGTAAGCTTTGGCCTTTCAATGGACACAATACGAGGGTAAAATTTGGAATTTATCGTCATCACGTGGCCCAAAGTTCACTGTTTACAAGCAGACGGTTCGAATAGGAATTCAAAAGATCGAGGCGCTATTTAGCCAAAAAGTCACTCCAAGATATTTCTATTAATAAATTAAATCCAACAGAAAGTCTATCACCTGCCTCTGGGAGGTCGGAAACGACACAACAAGACAAAAAAGGATCACTCCAAAAAAATCCCCCAATTTATATAAAATTCCAAAAAACCCCAAATTCCTTCCCACCCCAAACCAAAGCAACCCAACCCAAACGTCCGTTATCTCTCCGTTACCTTACCTTTTTTATATCTCCCTCCCTCTTCTCACCCTCACCCTCATCACTCCTACTCTCTCTACTCAAACCCTAACCCCGATCAAATCAAGATGCGCGAGATCCTCCACATCCAGGGCGGCCAATGCGGGAACCAGATCGGCGCCAAATTCTGGGAGGTGGTCTGCGCTGAGCACGGCATCGACGCCACCGGCCGCTACCAAGGCGACAACGACCTCCAGCTCGAGCGCGTCAATGTCTACTACAACGAGGCCAGCTGCGGCCGCTTCGTCCCTCGTGCTGTGCTCATGGATCTCGAGCCCGGGACCATGGACAGCCTCAGATCTGGGCCCTACGGCCAGATCTTTAGGCCCGATAACTTCGTCTTCGGACAGAGCGGCGCTGGGAACAACTGGGCCAAGGGGCACTACACCGAGGGAGCGGAGCTGATCGATTCGGTTCTTGATGTCGTGAGGAAGGAGGCGGAGAATTGCGATTCGCTGCAAGGTGAGAGTTTTGGTTGTTTTTGTCTTTTAATGGCAGATCTGAAGGATTTGGATGGATTAGGTTCAGATCTGATGACTTTGAATTTAGTCAATTTTGTTGATAATATATATTTTTTAATCGGCAGAGGTAAGAGATGGGGGCGAATTCGCTTTTAGATCCAGATCTAATCATTATTTTCCTTAATGTGATAATTAATTGATCAGATCTTGAGATTTGTGGCGTCAGATCAAAGAATGTATTTATGTTCATTGATCAAAATTTCTTAATTATTGTTTTCATTGCTAATTGATCAGCCCAGATCTAGATGATAGACCTAAAGATTGTCGACTTGTGATCTGATTTACTGATAAATTGTTTTTATTGTTCCATATCTAACCTCCAGTGTTCAGACCTGAAGTAATTTAAGAAAACCAATGGCTCTGTTCTGTTATTGATGAATTACTCTCAGAAAATTATTTCTAGAGCCTTTTGATAAAAAAGATGTTACAAGAATTATATTTCTCAAGCTTCCTAAATTATTGATCTAAGAAACGCTGTTTGTTAATTTAAAGGAAAAGGAAAAAAATATAATGTCTATCTAACAAGGTTCACACTCAATTCTGAAGTAATTCGGGGAAAAAAAATGATTTGATATAGGCACACAATACAACTCAAATATTCTAAATTACTTGGTCTAAGATGTATCCGACCTCACTCCTTAATTTTTGGTGAGAATGGTGATTTTTAATTTTATCTCTTTTATGTATTTTTTAAATATCGTGCGGGCTTCTGAATTGTTTGTTCCTCAGCTAACTTCTGTTTGGTTTCTTCGCAGGTTTCCAAGTTTGCCATTCCTTGGGAGGTGGAACTGGATCTGGAATGGGTACGTTGCTGATATCAAAGATCAGAGAGGAGTATCCTGATCGTATGATGCTCACTTTCTCTGTGTTCCCCTCGCCAAAGGTCTCTGATACAGTTGTTGAACCCTACAATGCGACCCTTTCTGTTCACCAGCTGGTGGAAAATGCTGATGAATGCATGGTGCTTGACAATGAGGCGCTCTATGATATCTGCTTCAGAACTCTCAAGCTAACCACTCCAAGCTGTAAGGATCTCTTCTTTTGTTGTAGCACAGTTAGTTTTGCAGTAACCTTGAGTCATATTCACTGAGTCACTGATGCAGGTTACATTTTATTTTGATCTAATTTTGCGCCTATAAGATCTTGCTTTGAACAGGCGCGTACGAAAGGGTATTTTATGATTGCCTTCTTGCTATTACACCTGTTTTCTTGCTATCATATAGATATTTTACAACAGTTGGCTAGACTTATGTTATGTCTGGATATGCCAAAGTGATAATATATGTCACTAGGATGTTCATACATGGGATAAAGTCAATTCCCATTGACGGCATGGTCCATAGTAATTCACGACTAATTCAATATCTCCCTGAAAAGTCAATTGTTCTTGAAATCAATCTTTCTTTTCGAGTAGAATTGGTTAGATATACCTCACGCGTATCATTAAAACAGATTTAGGTGTGAACATGGTAATCTAGCCTGCCACACGAAAAGTATCATAACACAACCAAAATACTTAGGCACAAAAGCCCAAAATGGCTCAAAAAAGCAAGCCTAAAAAAACCAACTTGAAAAGCTGTCCTTGAAATCAATATCATAAAGCTAATTTCTGTCATTTGGATCTTTCTTTATTGTGTTACTTGTGTGTATGTTTACTTATGCACACGTAACTTTTATGTTATACATATGATTAGGAATCAACTTTTATGCATTTGTTCTTCTAATGGTGGTTACTCTATAAACTAAATAGAAAAAGTTGATTCATTTTCTTACTTGATGTTCACTGAACCAGTTGGTGATCTCAACCACCTGATCTCTGCTACCATGAGTGGAGTTACATGCTGCCTCCGCTTCCCTGGTCAGCTGAACTCTGACCTCCGAAAGCTTGCGGTGAACTTAATCCCCTTCCCCCGCCTCCACTTCTTCATGGTCGGCTTCGCCCCCCTAACCTCCCGCGGGTCCCAGCAGTATCGTGCCCTAACCGTCCCTGAGCTAACTCAGCAAATGTGGGATTCCAAGAACATGATGTGTGCTGCTGACCCAAGGCACGGCCGCTACCTCACAGCCTCCGCCATGTTCCGTGGCAAGATGAGCACCAAAGAAGTAGACGAGCAGATGATCAACGTCCAGAACAAGAACTCGTCCTATTTCGTTGAGTGGATCCCGAACAACGTGAAATCCTCGGTTTGTGATATTCCTCCGACCGGGCTTAAGATGGCGTCAACTTTCATTGGAAACTCTACATCGATTCAGGAAATGTTCCATAGGGTTAGCGAGCAGTTTACTGCTATGTTTAGGAGGAAGGCTTTCTTGCATTGGTACACCGGGGAGGGGATGGATGAGATGGAGTTTACTGAGGCGGAGAGTAATATGAATGATTTGGTTTCGGAGTATCAGCAGTACCAGGACGCTACAGCCGATGAAGAGGGCGAGTATGAGGACGAGGAGGAAGGCGATTACCAAGAGGCTTAATCTGCTGCTTTGCTTAGGAGTTATTATGTTGGGTTTATATATAGTATGGTGTAAGTTTGTTGTTGTCTCTACTGTTGAGCATGTTTCTACTATGTGTTTTGGTGCTATATTCAGTACTCTGTATTGCTTTAGCCTTTGATTTCATGTATGAGAGATGTATTCTGTGTTGAGCTTCACTCGATTGCGCGTGTCTGAGTAAACCCTGTTATATTGTGATTAGTATCTGAATATTAAAAGTTATACTTTGCCTGTTAACTGCATTGTTTGTTGTCCTCTGTTGATAAAATGTTCCTGATGTGTGAAATGTGATAGTAGAATTCTTTTCGAGACTGGACTAAACACACAAAAAAAAAAAAAAAAAAAAACACAAAAAAAAAAAAAAAAAAGAGAAACAAGAGCGATGCAGCAAGTTCTCTTTCTTTTATTTATTTACACCTTCCCCAGTTCAACCAATTACAAGACGCATGCACGTTGGTCGTACGAGCTAAAACATGTACAATTTAAGTGCCTCGCATCCTTCTTTATTCTCTAATTCTTTCCAAGAACAGCAGCACTCATCCTTCTCCTGATCTCCTTCCTACAAATATAAACAAGCTTATTATTAGTTTCACTCATGCGTATCAGAGTTATAAGAAGCCCAAAAATAAGCTATTATTTAGCGACGACGACGACGATAAAACCTATTGGAAGTCAGATATGAAATGAATCGTAACCGTCCATTAAACAACACACAGTTCTGATCGAGAAAGAGTTACCTTAGTATGTCCCTATCGAGAGTCGACGCGGAGAGCATGCCCCTGTTCTCCTCCGCGCGACGAAGGAGGTAAGGGATGACTTGATCCACAGTACCGTAGGGGAGGTACTTGTTCACTTGGAAACCTGTGTTTTTAAGCCCTAAGGACAGTCCATCAGCCATTCCCATGAGCTGAGCGAACTGCAAGTTTCGGTTCCCTTTCGATATTCCGAGCTCCTCTGCCTTCGCGGCTGCCGCCTTTCCTGCAGTAGATCAACAGCATTCATTTAATCAAACAGTACCAAAACAGACTCTACGGTTTGACACTTATTTTGGGTAGAATTAGATGAACCCTTTTAGGTTTGGGTGATCTCTCAAGTAACCCCTTAACTTCCAAAACATCATAAAAAAAAAACACTGCAACGCGTACCTGATTCGACATTGTGCGTCGCCAGCACCAGCGACACTGAACCTCCAGCAATCCTCTCCAGCATAAACGACGCGCATTCATCGTAGCACCTATGGGTCTCCCCGATGCTCCCATGTATCGGTGACTCAACCCCCAACGCGGCCGCCATCTCCCTCTCCCTCGTGTACGCCCCCCTCACCAGCTTTACACCCACCACAAACCCCTCCCTCTCTGCTGCCTCCACAATACCCGCCAGCCTCTCCTTCGCGTCCCTCAAATAACACTGCACCGTGCCCAACACCATCGCGCTCTCAGACTTTGGCTTCTTGTTGAATTCCAGAGCTGCAGAGTACGTGAAGTAGTCGATTGCGGGTTGCACCGTGGAGTACTCCGCGTCGATTAGGATCGAGAGGTTGAGCTCGGCGCAGCGGCTGCAGAGGGTTGAGAGCCTGTTAAGAGATTGTTGGAGGTTCAACTCCTCTGTTTCTGTCAAGGGTAAGGGCTTCGTCGGGGTTTGGTAGAGGGGGCTTGAGTCCGAGAGGACGGGGATTGAATGTGATTTCCATGGGAGGGTCAGCGATGGGTCTTTTTGTTGCCACCGGAGGAGATCGCTGATGCGTTCGAGGAGGGAGATCGGGCAAATTGCTGTGACTTTTACGCAGGCCGAGCTCACCTTAGGAGGGGGAAAAAAAGGGAATTTGAGCAATAAGTTTGATTAAGGGTGGTGCTACATACACCCAAAAACATGGATCCTGCATGAGACATGTGAGTTTTTGGCTCCCAGTCCCATGATGGGTGGTGCTACAGAGACCCAAAAACATGAGACCCTACATAGAACATGTGAGGTGTCGGCTCCCTATCCCATGATGGATGGTGTTAAAGGGAACCAAAAACACGAGACCCTACATGGGACATGTGATGTGTCGGCTCTTTGTCCCCATGATGCACTGTTCATGAACAGTATATCATGGGATAAGGAGCCGACACCTCACATGCCCAATGATTCTAATGTAAGATAGTTTATAATAAAAAAAACTACAGTTAAATGAATTAATTATGACATAGGAAATAATCTATAGATAGAAGGAACCAAAAAAAAAGAAAATCCGATTGTATTATATAAGGTGCCGTTAAACATATTTTTGGGGTTCTGTCAATGATCTCACTCTTAATATTCTCAAATACATGGTTTAGCAGTAGGATCTGTGGCGCAATGGTAGCGCGTCTGACTCCAGATCAGAAGGTTGCGTGTTCGATTCACGTCAGGTTCAATCCTTTTTTATTTTTATTTTTATTTTTGCTTTATAGCTTTTTATTACTTTTAGGCCCACAGGGACCAGGAAGAATTTGAGGACGGTGCAGTAGCTGAGCTGTCAACTTGTTGCCTTAATGTCTCGTATTATTCCATACACGACAAAACGTAACCGTAATTCCAACCAAAAAATTTACGTGACTGCCCCTGTTAACGTGCCTCCTACTAATTAATTAACCACAACAACCTCACCAAATATTAATTACCCCCCATTGAATAGTGCCTCACGTGCTCCCACATCTCACGTGCCAGAATCTCATCCGCCGCCCGTCAAGAATCTTCATTATTTAGTCCACCCGAGGCTTTTAAATTTTAATAAAATTCAAGCAAAGAAACGCGAATTACAAAAACTCCCTCTTAAATAAAATTTTACTTTTCCTATTTCTTTGTTTGGTTAATTTAAATAGGAAAAATAGGGATCCCAAAAACATAAACCCAAGCCTTTTGTTTTGGACTTGGTTAGGGATCTAATATTTTGGGCTATAAAAAAAATGGATCGAGTTGGTGACGGTGCAAATTTCTTTTTATTTACAAATCTCTCTTTCTCTCACTCCTTTTTCCAAAAAAAACCTTATAGATCAAACCTATATAGATCTCATCAGAACCAACATTAATTTAAGGTAGAATGAAACACATAAAATCCTTTTTCTAATAAATAATCGAGTTATAAATTTGAGATTACAACAATCTTACAAATTAAAAAACATGCCTAGCCGGAGTAAAATCTTATAATTATTAATTATTATATTGGAAGCTTCACTTTTAATGTATTAGCTAGATTATCTGTCAACCATGCAAACCGCAGGGAGATCTTCTGTATTTAAAAAAAAAAGAAAAAATATAAAAAAAGAACACTTACCGCTGACCGTGGCAACGATGACATCATCTCGACCATCTCCAAAAACCCACTCAAATTCCTATCGCACCCACTCCCATCCTCGGCATCCTCAGACCCATAATCCAATATCCCCTTCAACCCCATCCCCTCCAACTCCTTAACGGTTCTGCCCACTTCATCCAAACCCGACCCGGCGCAAAAATGCCCGTAAACCGTCCCCTTAACCACACCCATTAGGGCCTTATTCGCCAACCAGCTTGATTGAACCACCTGCGAGCGGACTGTTCTGATCCCGACATCTACCAGAGGTTCGATCGATAGGGTTTGGAGAATTGCCAGGGACCGGATCAGCGATCGGGTTGAAATGGAGGAGAAGATTGGTTCGGTGTTTGAGAGGTCGAGGATTGCGTTTGGGTTTGGACTTGGAGCTGGGTCGATGAGTTTCGGGGTTAAGGTTATCGGGTTTGAGGTTAGGGTTGAGAAGTGACGAGCTAGGGTTAGGGTTAGGGCTTTCTTGGAGACGACGGCCATGTAAAAGCGGCAGAGATTTCTTTCTGTGAGAACTTCTGATGAGTTTTTGGGGGAGGGTGGTGGTGGTTTTTTTTATAGAGGGGTGGTGGTGTAGGATAAGGAGTAGGTTGTGCGGGAGGGTAAGGAAACGTGGGAGCTGAGTCAGGGTCTAGTGGGAAGGAGGTGGGGGTAAAAGAGTAATTTGACGTGGCTCTGGTTGTGCTGTAATGGGAAAGAATCGAGCGTTTCTTTTTGTGTTGAGGGTAAATTTGTCCGAATAAGTTTCGCAAGTTAGCAAATAGAGGCTCCGGAGGATTTGGCGGTTGGAATCTTGGGTGAGCTCTCTCTTTTTGACTGGCTAGGTTCAGATCACAGATTCACTTGGTCAGAGGAGAAAAAAAAAGGAAAGGAATATATAAAGGATTATTTTGGAAAAAAATTGAAGGAAACAATAGTGAATATTGATTTATGTATGGTAATAGTTTTTACATTAGGGATTCATATTTTCCTGAAAAAGGAATATATCATAGATTCATTTGGGAAGAAAGTTTAGAAGGGATTAATTGTCATTCTACAGATAATCTTTTTCAGAGAGAATATAGTTGTTACTAATTTTCATAGGGTCATATTTTGTCCTTCTAACGAACTTTGGGAAAAAATACAATTTTTTTATCTAAGATAGTTATGAGATATAAGGATAATTCTATTTAAGACACTTCTTAGCATCATGTCGGTGCTATAGAACTACTCGCTCAGATACAAATAGTTATGATAGAATTTGAGAAACGAGATCTTATGAAGACTTACTGGAGTCACCGGTGTAAAAAAAAGAAAAAGTTAGACGTCTATCATTGTTGAGTAAGGATCTAATATGAGCTGGGGTTAATTTAATAACTTTAAAAGGCTAGATTGTAATGAACCGGGTCTACTAGATATTTTCTTGTATGAGGAAGGCGCAAGTTAAGAATGAATTCGTCTGCGAAAAAAGTGCAAGTTAAGGGAAAATTTGTTCGAATAAATTTAGTAATAAGTGAGTTAATAGAGGTATAAGGATTTTGGAATAAGATAATCATTTGTGCGCTTTCTACCATTTTCTCCCCCTCCCTCAAATGAGATGCAATAAAGATTCACTTTCTTAAAGGAAATATTTTATAGATTCAATTGAGAGAAAAATTTATATAGAAGGAAGTAGTGGTCAATCCATGTTATTTTGAAAAGTTTATTGTAGAAAATATGGCTATTATCAATTTAGGTGGTAATAGTTTACATTAGAAGATTTCACTTTTCTCTAAAAGGGAAAAGGTCAAAGATTCATTTGGGCAAATCAGGTGATAATAATAATCAAGCCACGTGCTTTTAGAAAGACCGTGGAACATGCAATATATGTGATGGTAACCATTATAATAATCATGTCTTATTTAGATATTAGTCCCTTACATCTTCAATAATTCCATGTTAGTCCCTCAAATCTCAACAATTGCATATTAGTCCCTCAAATCCCAAAAAGTCTTGCAATTTGTTCCCTCAAAGACCAAAACACCCCTTAGTTATAATTTCTATCTTAAAATCTATCTTGTTCGAAAAAGGATTATTTGCACTTGGTACTCTAAAGTTTACATCTTTTTAACTTTAATGCTCAAAGATTTTTAACATTTTGATACCCTAAAGTTTACAAATTTTTTTACTTAATACACTAAAAGTTACACATATTTTAATTTTGATACCCTAAAAATTTTGACACTTTTGTTATGATAAAATTTATACCTTTTTTGATGCTTTAAAGTTTTATTTTTAACACTTTGATATCTGAACATTAGAGTATCAAAGTTTAAAATGAGTAAATTTTATGGCATTAAAGTTAAAAAAATTTGGAGCCTTAATTTGGGATGTGAAAGTTGAAAAAATGTGTAAACTTTAGGATGTGAAAGTTTAAAAAAAGTGCCATAAGAATTTGGGATATCAAATGGTAAAAAGGTTTAAACAACAACTTTCAGAAGATGTAAAATTTAGAGTGCTAAATTATAAATAATCCATAAAAAAGTTACCTGAGGGTATTTTGATCATTAAGAGACTGAATCTATTCCTTTATACAAATAGGAGGATCAGAGATTCACTGTAAATGCTATAGTAGCATTATCACTGTAGCTAATAATTAATTAAAAATATTACTGTAGCACACGGATATACTGTAACATGTAAAAGGTACTGTAACAGAGCGGGGTACTGTAGCACTTCCAAAAATTCAAATCACGCCATATTAAAAAAAGTGGGATTACTGTAGCATGAAAAAAAAAAAAAAAAAAAAAAAAAAAAAAAAAAAAAACCGTGCTTTGCACGGACCGCAAACTAGTTTCAATAATCCTAATATTTGAGGAAGTACCGAGCAATTTTATAGATTTGAGGGACTACCATAAAACAAAAATAATGTTAGGGGCACACCCCCTAACACACCCCCTCTCCCATCGCTACAGTAAACCGGTCCCCACATGAGATTTTAAAATTTTTTAAAATCCCATGTGAGGCCCGATTTACTGTAACGATGGGAGAGGGGGTGTGGTTGGTGGTGTGGTAGGGGGGGGGCCCCTAACACCACTCATAAAACAACCCTTGTGTATTTTATAAGCTCTGGAGTGCTGACGTCAACGGAAAAGTACGATGTACACGAGCAATAAAAACCATTACAATAATTATTTTGTTTATTTTATAAGTTTTTGGAGTGCTGGGGTACGATAACGGAAAAGTACAGTGGATGATGAGAGCAACGTGGCAACGTGTGTGCTGAGTCATGGTCTAGTAATAATAAGGGTAAAAAGGTAATTCTGTAATTTGGTGGACTTTGAAAGAGGCGACGAGTTTGGTACTTGAGGGTATTTTCGCCCGAATATTTTTTTTTTTTGAAAATTATGACATGCACGCGCCGAATTCTTGGGAGAACTTGGAATCTTGGGGGGCTTTATCGTCAACTGGGGTTACATCACAGATTCACTTTTTTTCTGAGGAAAAGTCGTAAAAGATTCAGTTGGGAGAAAAAGTGGAGGAGGGAATAATGGAATAATGGTCCAAACCCCCTTGGCTTAATTATGAGGAAATTTCGGGATTTGCAATTTTTCTTACGATGGTAAATAATTTTTTTTTTCCTTTACAACAAGATTCACATTTACTAACAAAGACCATATCAAAGATTGACCTTGTGAAGAAAAGTTCAAGAGGGAGAAGGCAACTTTTCATAGATAAAAATATGATGATTAATGCTAATATCTATGTTGACATCATATATTCTTTATATTAATATATTTTATATTCCCCTGGGGGAAACAAGTTTAGGAGGGAATAATAGTTAGTCAATGTGTTCTTTGAATACGCAAGAGAAAATATGGTGATTATCTGGTTTGACTGTATATTTTTCTTTTTTCAAAGATATATTTTGAAGTAATATAATAAGACCTATGAAAATAAACTGGTTTATTTAATGAACCATGTCAATGATTTAGGATAATCTTATCCAAATGAGGATAGATGGTAAAAGTTAATTAAGTTAATTAATTCTAAACTTATATTTAAGAAACCAAAAATAACTTTTCAGAAGTACTGTCAAATTACTCTGTAACATAATCTTTCAATTATAAATTTGATTATCATGTTTATAAACCTTAAACCATGTACAATTCGGTAATATTGTGATTCCAACAAATTAAATACAAGCAAAATCACATCTTCTATTAATGTACTCATTCTATTTTATTTAACTTAAAAGAATTATATTTATAATGAAAGCTATATATGATTTGAAAGAATCTACTCGAGATAAAGAAAGAATCGGAATCTTAGGCGTTGGAATCTTAAATTGCCTTTTATTTTGGTTCACATCACACATTTATTCGTTGAAAAAGAATCGAGGAAAGAATTATGGCCAAGTAATTCTTTTTGGCAGAGGTTTTGACACACGTGCACTTTTTCTTGGTACTTATCGGATGTGAGCTTAGTTATAGAAAGTTTGAGGATTGCTTTTCCTGATATTTATAGTTACTAGGTTACTTTTTTTTTTTTTTTGAGAAAATGTTTACTAGGTTACCTATAAATAGAAAATCATTTATGTGATATGTTATCACGATGTATTTATTTGGTGGTCAATCACTGATGATAGCAAGTGCGATTTTATATAAGATTGTGGGTAGAGAATAAGTTGATAAGAGAGATTTTTTTCTTGAATATTATAGTATGTTGGTGATCTTAAGGTCATCGCTATAAATAGAATTAGGTCAAAATTGTCTAGGTGGATGTATTATCCATATAAATAGTCTTTTGTAATCAATCAAATATAAAGAGTACAATAGAGAAAAATGTGCGATTTTATATATGATTTTGGAGACCTGAAGGCGCCGTTTAGCAAAGGGTTAAGAAAGAGGGATTAAAGAGAATGGTTAAATTAGTTAATTCATTGGGAATGGTTAAAAATATTCTAATTCCATTTGGATTCGCTAGTTAAGACAAGGGGTTAAGTCTTTTGTGTTTGGCAAATGAAGAAGTGATAAGGAGATTAATCTCATAATTTTTTTTAAAAAAATACCACTTTCGTCCTTACTGAAAATTTATAACTAATTGCCTCACTAATATATTTTTCGTGTTATTTGCCTTCTGAGCAATTTCAAAGTTTTGAAGCGCTAATATGTAATTCAGTTGAGACACGAGTGATAAATATTTTTTTTTGAAATAACGCTAAAATGACAATTTCGTATTATTCAATAAATGATTGTTCAGAAGATAAATAAAAATAAATTATCATTTTCGTATTATTTCAAAAACTAAAGAGAGATAATAAGCTAACAAAATATTATATGGTTCTTATCTATCAATGAACCTGACAAAAAAAATTTGATTATTAAAAAAAAAAGATTTGATTATTCAAGGAAAAAAACAATCTACTCAATAGATCTATATAAAATTATAAGGTTGATATAATTATTGATCTTATCATAGTAAGGTTGATATAATTATTGATCCTTAATTCAATTTAAGGATTCAATTAAATAAAAGGTATCTTTTAATTTGAC